ACTATTTGAACGGCCGGGGCCGTCCCCCAAGCGTTCACTTGGAAAGTGGATATGATATCGCGAAAAGTATTCTCGTGATATCATGCGAAGCAAGAGGGGAAAACATGTGATATTTTTCAACACACCGGGATGATGTTGTTGTTGTTGTTAAAGATTCGCTACCTGGAACAAAATGTTCCAAGTAGCACGGGCTATGGTGAGCCCGAAGTCACGCCGGGAGGTTTGTACACACGTTGGGGCCGGAGTTCAGGGTGTGTGCCAATCCGGAGGGCTGGACATACAGGGCGAGGGATCTGGACACGCAGGACAAGGGAGGCGGGAGATAGAGGGGGGGGGGTGGTCCTGGACATACAAGGTCGGGTGTCTAGAGCTGACGGTAAAAGCTGAAGTCGAGCCCCTCAAGGTGGGAAGAGTGTTCCAGAAATAACTTACACGTGAGACAGGAGAGTATAACCACTCCTTGTACCAGAGCACCTCGGGGAGCCGGTCAGCCGAGGGGACAGCACGCTGGACTTGTGATCCTGTGGTCCTGGGTTCGATGCCAGGCGCCGGCGAGAAACAATGGGCAGAGTTTCTTTCACCCTATGCCCCTGTTACCTAGCAGTAAATAGGTACCTGGGTGTTAGTCAGCTGTCACGGGCTGCTTCCTGGGGGTGGAGGCCTGGTCGAGGACCGGGCCGCGGGGACACTAAAACCCCGAAATCATCTCAAGATAACCTCAAGATAACGCTGCCTCACCAACCTGTCCTCTTACAAAGGACGTCGCTTTTCACATGCGTTACATAAGGCCAAAAATGGTCGTACTAAAACATATTAAACGGTTTGCGAAAGTGACGCACTGTCCCGTTTTCTGTTTTGGGTCCTCTGGTAGGTTAGGAGAGGACACTTTACATTGACCGTTTTCTTGACGATGGGAGGGGGGGGGGAGCCTTAGGAGGACGGGTTGGGTAAAGGCGTCACTCTAAGACTTACTCCTGCACACTCCAAGCTGAGGTCAGTTCAATTTTAGAGTTAACCAGAGCGCTGAGGCTCGTATAGGCCGCAGCCGGTCATTACAAAATTGAAAGTATATCCTTTTGTTCAGGGAGCAACTATGAGTGAGAGAACTGAGTAGCTTTGGTACACAGCTTCCAGTCTTGAGGTTATCTTGACATGATTTCGGGGCTTTAGTGTCCCCACGGCCCGGTCCTCGACCAGGCCTCCACCCCCAGGAAGCAGCCCGTGACAGCTGACTAACACCCAGGTACCTATTTTACTGCTAGATAACAGGGGCATAGGGTGAAAGAAACTCTGCCTATTGTTTCTCGCCGGCGCCTGGGATCGAACCCAGGACCGCAGGATCACAAGTCCAGCGTACTGTCCGCTCGGCCGAGTCCGAGCGGCCGGCGGGGGAAGCTTTCGAGACTCAGCCGAGTCTGCACCTTATATCAACACCTATACACCAAGACCTGTGTATATCAACACCTATACACCAAGACCTGTGTATATCAACACCTATACACCAAGGCCAGTATACCATGACCTGTTGAACGTATACACGAAGCCCCGAGTGACACTAGATGAGGAACCTCTGCTCCAAGACCAACCCTCCAAAAAATCGAATTTCAGGAAATTCTGTGACTATTTAGAAATAAATGTGGATACCGATAAATATTAGGGACACTGTGGGAAACTGTCCAAGACAAGAAAGGAATGGAGTCTTTTAATTTTAAAAGACTCGCAGCTTCAGGATTCTGTCCCACGAAGAATGTGGATAGAGAAGCGTATCCTCTTTAAGACAGCAATGGGATAGGAGTTCACAGTGCTTCAGTTAGCCAAACAGTACGACAATAAACCCAATGGCTGGCAGCGATCCCCAAGATTGACGATTGATTGATTGATGAAGATTAAGCCACCCAAGAGGTGGCACGGGCATGAATAGCCCGTAAGTGGTGGCCCTTTCGAGCCATTACCAGTATCAAAAGATGATACTGGAGATCTGTGGAGGCGCAACTGCACCCTGCGTGACGGGAGATGTCTCCCGGACCAAGTGGTAATGAAGTGGTGGTGCAAGATTGACGACGAATAATATCTTACAGGACTGAATTCACGACTCTTGAGAATCGCCACATGTCGGGAGAGTAGATCTTCGGAGAGTAGATTCACGGAGAATCTTCGTGAGAGAGAGGGAGAGTAGGGAGTAGATTCACGGAGAATCTTCGTGAGAGAGAGGGAGAGTAGGGAGTAGATTCACGGAGAATCTTCGTGAGAGAGAGGGAGAGTAGGGAGTAGATTCACGGAGAATCTTCGTGAGAGAGAGGGAGAGTAGGGAGTAGATTCACGGAGAATCTTCGTGAGAGAGAGGGAGAGTAGGGAGTAGATTCACGGAGAAGACAAGGAGAAATTACCAGATTTTTATTCCAAGAATAACTCAAATCAAGACCACGAACTTCCTATCGGAGAGGTGAGTGAATGGCGAAGCGCTGTGGATTCATGATTGGGTACTCCCACGCTCTTTGGGAGCCCAGCCCGGGTTCGAATCCTCCTTACGATTCCTGCTGATTTTCTCATAACGGCGCTTGGTTCCGTATCCGGATTACTCCTGGACGCTAGTGGCGCCTGATATATTTTTTTACGGTTATGAGAGCATCAGTAGGAACCATAGAGTTGGGTTCGAACCCTACAATCAGGGTACTCCCACGCAAGCGTCTACAGACACTTCTCCTTGAACTATATGTTTAACACTTCTCTAACCCTGTCCATGGAGGACAGAAGAAAATGTATATATGCTATCTTGAGGTTATCTTGAGATGATTTCGGGGCTTTTTTTTTAGTGTCCCCGCGGCCCGGTCCTCGACCAGGCCTCCACCCCCAGGAAGCAGCCCGTGACAGCTGACTAACACCCAGGTACCTATTTTACTGCTAGGTAACAGGGGCATAGGGTGACAGAAACTCTGCCCATTGTTTCTCGCCGGCGCCTGGGATCGAACCCAGGACCACAGGATCACAAATCCAGCGTGCTGTCCGCTCGGCCGACCGGCTCCCTTCAATGCTGGTTAGCATTGTAAATGTGTGGCCACGTCTGTGGTAGAAAAAAAAAAACACTGCTCCTACTGATTTCCTCATTGCTGCATCACTTTAATGTCACTTCTTGGAGCTTTTAGTAGTTATGCTTTTGCACGTGTTTCCAAACCAAAGATGATTGGTACAAGTTGTTAGCGGACACAACGGTAGTTAGTTCTGTCCCTACGAGACTCTCCTAAAGTTTTCACCACCGCCCAATGTATGATGGTTACCTTGCCATGATTTCGGGGCTCAACGTCCCCACGGCCCGGTCCTCGACTATGGTGGGGGGACGCTTCCGTTACGTCCAGTACAACGAAGTCTTTAGCACCGCATACAGCAGTCTAACTATTGGATAGGTTCACTAAATCAGTTCGACTCTCCAACAGGAAGAGTCAATCAGGAAACTTAGTCTGTCTCCTATCCTTCGACCAGAAGATGATTCCCAAGCCATGTAAAGGTAGTGTTCCAACAAGGACGAGGAACACGCCTAAGATCATGCAGGTTTATGCCGTCGAATTTCAATACCAGAATGAATATTGCAGTTGAATTCCAACATTTTTTTGCAAATTTTACAAAGTTCTGGCTTCTCCAATTTTGCTAAAATGTTATCATCAGAGTATGATATCACGCGTGGATACCAGAGCCTGACGCTATCATAGCGACACCGGCAACATATAACACTCGAGTCTACCACATGATTCTCAAGCTGAGTCTACCACATGATTCTCAAGCTGAGTCTACCACATGATTCTCAAGCTGAGTCTACCACATGATTCTCAAAGCTGAGTCTACCACATGATTCTCAAGCTGAGTCTACCACATGATTCTCAAAGCTGAGTCTACCACATGATTCTCAAGCTGAGTCTACCACATGATTCTCAAAGCTGAGTCTACCACATGATTCTCAAGCTGAGTCTACCACATGATTCTCAAAGCTGAGTCTACCAGATGTACTGGAGAGTTTACAAAGGCCAAATTCTTTGAAGTAGATGCAACCTTTGCACAGATAAGTCCCTTCCTACGATGTGACTTCTACCAGACCTGGGTGATGGGCCGAGTGTGTGAACAGTGGGTAGTGGGCCGAGTGTGTGAACAGTGGGTAGTGGGCCGAGTGTGTGAACAGTGGAAAGTTCACCCGAGAAGAACAGTTCTACTTTAATGTGTATGAGACGAGTTAATAAAATATTGTCACGTGACAGTTCCATAAGCCTAACACACACTCACACACAGATTAAAAACACGGGCGCTGGTGGCTGAGTGGACAGCACGCTGGATACGTAGTCCTGGGGTCCGGGGTTCAATTCCCGGCGCCGGCGGAAACAGATGGGGCAAAGTTTCTTTCACCCTGATGCCCCTGTAACCTAGCTGTAAATAGGTACCGTGGGATTAGACAGCTGTTACGGGCTGTTTCCTGGGTGTGTGTGTGAAAATTTTTGAAAATGTGTGCACAAGCAACAAGCACAATTAGGTAAGTACACACACACACACACACACACACACACACACACACACACACACACACACACACACACACACACACACACACACACACACCACACACACACGCCACTAGAGTGAATAGTAACAGATCAATCACTGTAATCATCGGGGAATCGAACTCAGGCCTCAAAAGTACAACAGCGTCACATGTCGGGCGGTGACCGAATTTACGAAATTTACATCAGATAAAACATGGTGGGAATTATCGTGGACTTAAAGGAACGAGAAAGAATTTAAACCAACAGCGTTATTCCAGCAAGGCGCTAACGCCCACTTAATCAAATTAACCTGGACTCCTTTTAATTAATTAGATGAGGTCGCCAACCGCAACAGCCTGGTGACCTGGCACGGTGACCTGGCACGGTGACCTGGCACGGTGACCTGGCACGGTGACCTGGCAAGAGCCTCTCAAAAACCAGCTGATTAAAAATTCTCTGTTGGCTCCATCATTTTAGAATATTTGTAAGGACAAGAGTGCCAAGGACAAGAGTGCCGAGGACAAGAGTGCCAAGGACAAGAGTGCCGAGGACAAGAGTGCCGAGGACAAGAGTGCCGAGGACAAGAGTGCCGAGGACAAGAGTGCCGAGGACAAGAGTGCCGAGGACAAGAGTGCCGAGGACAAGAGTGCCGAGGACAAGAGTGCCGAGGACAAGAGTGCCAAGGACAAGAGTGCCAAGGACAAGAGTGCCAAGGACAAGAGTGCCGAGAACAAGAGTGTCAAGGACAAAAGTGCCAAGGACAAGACTGTCAAAGACAAGAGTGCCGAGGACAAGAGTGCCGAGGACAAGAGTGCCAAGGACAAGAGTGCCGAGGACAAGAGTGCCGAGGACAAGAGTGACAAGGACAAGAGTGCCGAGGACAAGAGTGCCAAGGACAAGAGTGCCAAGGACAAGAGTGTCGAGGAGAAGAGTGCCAAGGACAAGAGTGTCAAGGACAAGAGTGCCAAGGACAAGAGTGTCAAGGACAAGAGTGCCAAGGACAAGAGTGCCAAGGACAAGAGTGCCAAGAACAAGAGTGCCAAGGACAAGAGTGCCGAGGACAAGAGTGTCGAGGACAAGAGTGCCAAGGACAAGAGTGCCAAGGACAAGAGTGCCAAGGACAAGAGTGCCAAGGACAAGAGTGCCAAGGACAAGAGTGCCAAGGACAAGAGTGTCAAGGACAAGAGTGCCAAGGACAAGAGTGCCAAGGACTAGAGTGCCGAGGACAAGAGTGCCGAGAACAAGAGTGCCGAGGACAAGAGTGCCGAGGACAAGAGTGCCGAGGACAAGAGTGCCGAGGACAAGAGTGCCAAGGACAAGAACGCCGAGGACAAGAGTGCCAAGGACAAGAGTGCCGAGGACAAGAGTGCCAAGGACAAGAGTGCCAAGGACAAGAACGCCGAGGACAAGAGTGCCAAGGACAAGAGTGCCGAGGACAAGAGTGCCGAGGACAAGAGTGCCGAGGACAAGAGTGCCAAGGACAAGAGTGCCGAGGACAAGAGTGCCGAGGACAAGAGTGCCGAGGACAAGAGTACCGAGGACAAGAGTGCCAAGGACAAGAGTGCCAAGGACAAGAGTGCCAAGGACAAGAGTGCCGAGAACAAGAGTGGTCTACTCCACCAGGCTTGTTTACCGCGACTGCTCGCATTCTGACGCCTGAATCACAGCCTGGCTGATCAGGTATTCTTGGCAGGTGTTTATCAAGTTCTCTTTTGAACACCACGTGAAGGCGTCGCCACTTAACACCAGTGATGTCTCCGGGGACATCATTCCCAGTAATGATGTCTTCAAGACATCAACACCAGTAGTGATGTCTCCAAGACATCAACACCAGTAGTGATGTCTCCAAGACATCAACACCAGTACTGATGTCTTCAAGACATCAACACCAGTAGTGATGTCTCCAAGACATCAACACCAGTAGTGATGTCTCCGGGGACATCATTCCCAGTAATGATGTCTTCAAGCCATCAACACCAGTAGTGATGTCTCCGAGACATCAACCGGTAGGGAGCCGGTCGGCCGAGTAGACAGCACGCTGGACTTGTGATCCTGTGGTCCCGGGTTCGATCCCGGGCGCCGGCGAGAAACAATGGGCAGAGTTTCTTTCACCCTATGCCCCTGTTACCTAGCAGTAGATAGGTACCTGGGTGTTAGTCAGCTGTCACGGGCTGCTTCCTGGGGGTGGAGGCCTGGTCGAGAACCGGGCCGCGGGGACACTAAAGCCCCGAAATCATCTCAAGATAACCTCAAGATAACGGGTGATGGTTCTCAACAACAATATAACATCATCAAAAGCAAGATCTTAAACACTCGTGATAAAAAAAAAGTGAACTAAAACAAAAACAAAAAAAACATTCAACATAAAAAAAAAAAAAAATTCAGAAACATTTGGAGAGGAAAAATATGTTGCAACGTCTGCAACATTTAATGTTTATTTTGAGGGCCAGAAATTTAAACATTCTTTCAAGCAGTGTGAAATTGCTCTAAAGAAGCAGGGAGGTGGAGAAGGCGGAGGAGGAGGAGGTGGAGGAGGTGGAGAAGGCGGAGGAGGTGGAGGTGGAGAAGGCGGAGGAGGAGGAGAAGGAGGAGAAGGAGAAGGAGGAGGAGGACAGAGGATTACAAATAAAAAATGGAAAAAAATAGGATCCAAGACACTATATACAAGCAGACTGTTGTGGGATGTGCTAGAGGCACCCAAGGATGTACTCACCTATTCACCTATTTGTGCTTGCGGGGGGGGTTGAGCTCTGACTCTTTGGTCCCGCCTCTCAACTGTCAATCAACTGGTGTACAGGTTCCTGAGCCTATTGGTGTGTGAGTGTGTAAGAATGCCCTATAGTGGGTGTTGCTTAGAATGAATGGTGTTACGATCGCCGTCTAAATAACAGTTCTATCCGGTCCTCAAGTTATTTTTACCAAGAAAGATCGCAGACGGCCCAAACTATAATTTAAGTTAGAACACAGGTACCTGGGAGTTAGACAGCTGCTACGGACTCCTTCCTGGGTGTGTCTGTGTGTGAAACAAACAACAGTTGGTTGATGGACAGTTGAGAGGCGGGCCCAAAGAGCCAGAGCTCAACCCCCGCAAGCACAACTAGGTGAGTAGACACTCAACACACCTAGAAGAGGAAAAGGAAAGAGGGCAAAGAGACAAAGATGAAAGTCATCAAGGAGAAAGATTGAGAAAGTGGCCATTTTGACGAAGGGGGAGAAGGAGGGGCGAAGAGGTAGAGGGAGGGGGGAGGTTGGAGGGCGAAGAGGGAGAGGGAGGGGGGAGGTTGGAGGGCGAAGAGGGAGAGGGAGGGGGGAGGTTGGAGGGCGAAGAGGGAGAGGGAGGGGGGAGGTTGGAGGGCGAAGAGGGAGAGGGAGGGGGGAGGTTGGAGGGCGACAGAGAGGGAAGCGAGAGGAAATGAGGAGAAGGTCACAGGAAGAGAGGAAGGTGATAGGAATGAAGGCCTCGTAAGAGCAGAGGAGGCTGAGGGAAGAGAATACATGGATAAGAGGAGAGAACAGTAAGAGAAGGAGACACGGAGATCTGCGTGGAAGGGGAGAAAGTGGAGAGGAGGAGACATGGTTGGGAGGAAAGGTACGAAGGCCACAGAGAAAGGGAATAAGGGGAAAGGAGGAAAGCGGGAGAGAACATTTTAAGGAATGGTAATGGGAGAGATGAGGTTGGGTTGCGTGCGACTGCCAGGGTCAACACTTTTATAATGCCCTTACTCTGTGAGGAGAAGATGTACACATATGTACACAACTGTGCTTAGTCACAGTTGTGTACCTTTTAACGGTACACTGTAGCGACCACAAGATGTGTACGTTCAGTGTGAGTGAGTGAGTGAGTGAGTGAGTGAGTGAGTGAGTGAGTGAGTGAGTGAGTGAGTGAGTGAGTGAGTGAGTGAGTGAGTGAGTGAATGAGTGAGTGACATTTTACCCAAACAGTACCTCGGAAGCTGTGTTGATGCTGCAATTCTTGACCAGTTAACTCCAACATTCACACACACACACACACACACACACACACACACACACACACACACACACACACACACACACACACACACATCAATCTCTCCAACACCTTCGAAACGTCAAGGTCTGTCTTTAGTTTAGTCAAGTACTCACTTATAAAAAACACACACAACTACTGCATTTAAAGTAACAGTTTCTTAACTGGGAGGAACAATCAAATTTGTCACACTGATGTCGTTTTTTGCGTGTTGAATTCACATGAACCAGTGTTTATAAAGACGACCCCCCCAGCCCCCTGGAAACACAAACCGAAACTGTCTCTATTTTCCGCTTGTTACAACCTGTAATAACGTTGTTACATCTTGGCTTAACGTGTTTATGACGTATTAGAACGTTGTTACAACTTGATATATTGGTTGTTATAACTGGTTAGGAAGTGTTAAAACTTGTTCGAACGTTGTACCAACGTCGTAGTTTCGATGTGTGTTTGGCGGGCCCACCCCGTCTTTTTTAAAGACGGAGGCATCTTTTTCTCCTATTCCTGAATCAACTCTGCCTTTAAATCAACTTAAATCAACTAAGTAGAGAGAATGAACTACGGTAACCGTAAGCCATAGCTGGATCCGGTTATTACGAATAGCCGGATCTAGCTATGGATCCGGCAGATCCAGCTATGGATCCGACAGATCCAGCTGTGGATCCGTCGAAGCATCTTTTCACACACTCAGCTGCTCCATAGTTTGGCATGATAATGGCCAAGCCTTGTAAGGCCCAAAACTCCCCATTTAGTCCAAAGAGAGAACAACATTACCCCGGCTATAGCCAAACTTTCCACCTGCTACTCATCAATGATTTTTTTGGTCAAAGTTCATGCATATGGTCAGAACTTTGATCTATATAGTTTTCTCTTTACGTCAGGTAGTTTTTCTCTTTGGGAAGGAAGTTATATTTGATCTTATTGTCCAGTTTTTTCGGGGGTCATATTTTTTGGGGGGGTCATATACTGATGGTAGAGATAGATAGAGCAACTAAGCAAGAGTGATAGATTAGCAAGAAAGAAACAAATGAAATAAAGTGAAAAACAAAACAAAAAAGTATGTTTTCTTTCGAGAAAAGAATCGGGAATAAATCATAATAGTTCATAATGGAATAAAACCACGATAAACTGGGGACATAATGAATGGGGAGATACAGAGTAAAGGAGGGAGTGGAAGTCTACCACATGATTCTCAAAGCTGAGTCTACCACATGATTCTCAAAGCTGAGTCTACCACATGATTCTCAAAGCTGAGTCTACCACATGATTCACACACCTATTACTCACACACACACACACACACCTATTACTCTCCCTCTCCCTCACCAGAGTGAGAGTAGCGTCACCAGAGTGTATCAACACAACACACTGCAGCTGGAGTGCAGGCTATCAGTGTGGCACGCTTGGCCCTCCTCGCCCGCCTGATAATGGCCGAGTAGGGAACATTGCCATTGGGGGTTCCAGCTCCCAAATGAGAACTAGGAGACAAGACAACATTACCCGCATGTGGCAACAGCTGTTATGTTGGGCTAGGCTATGTTGGGCTCCGCTATGTCGTGCTGGGCTATGTTGGGCTGGGCCATGTTGGGCTGAGACATGAATTAATACCCCCTCTTAGTCTCCACATCCCTTCTTTCCATCAATTTACCCCATTATTTATTTACTAATAATGTTCCTCCCCCTCCACCCCCTACCCCTCACCCCTTACCTCCCCCTAACACCCCCCCCCCACTCCCCCTTTCACTCCCCCCCCCTTACCATTAAATTAATTATGCTAACGTGGAAATTTTAAAATATATAACGGTTATATGTTAATTTCGAAATGTATCTATCCCCCTTGTGTAAAAAAACGTGGAAAACACATCGTGTTATTCTCTGGACCTCGCACGCACACACGCACGCGCATACACACACACACACACACACACACACACACACACACACACACACACACACACACACACACACACACACACACACACACACACACACACACACACACACACACACACACACACACACTCACACACACACACTGCGCCATTTTTCAAGGAACGTTCAGAAGACGGGGCCAGGAGCTAAGCTCAACCCTACTAGAACATCTGATGAGTACGGCAGACTGGTTCTTGGGGGGGCCTTCAGCAGGCTGGGTCTTGGGGGCCTTCAGCAGGCTGGGTCTTGGGGGCCTTCAGCAGGCTGGGTCTTGGGGGCCTTCAACCGGCTGGGTCTTGGGGGCCTTCAGCAGGCTGGGTCTTGGGGGCCCTCAGCAGGCTGGGTCTTGGGGGACCTTCAACAGGCTGGGTCTTGGGGGCCTTCAGCAGGCTGGGTCTTGGGGGCCTTCAGCAGGCTGGGTCTTGGGGGCCTTCAACAGGCTGGGTCTTGGGGGCCTTCAGCAGGCTGGGTCTTGGGGGCCTTCAGCAGGCTGGGTCTTGGGGGCCCTCAGCAGGCTGGGTCTTGGGGGACCTTCAACAGGCTGGGTCTTGGGGGCCCTCAGCAGGCTGGGTCTTGGGGGACCTTCAACAGGCTGGGTCTTGGGGGCCTTCAGCAGGCTGGGTCTTGGGGACCTTCAACAGGCTGGGTCTTGGGGGCCTTCAGCAGGCGGGGTCTTGGGGGCCTTCAACAGGCTGGGTCTTGGGGGCCTTCAGCAGGCTGGGTCTTGGGGGCCCTCAGCAGGCTGGGTCTTGGGGGACCTTCAACAGGCTGGGTCTTGGGGGCCTTCAGCAGGCTGGGTCTTGGGGGCCTTCAGCAGGCTGGGTCTTGGGGGACCTTCAACAGGCTGGGTCTTGGGGGCCTTCAGCAGGCTGGGTCTTGGGGGCCTTCAACAGGCTGGGTCTTGGGGGCCTTCAGCAGGCTGGGTCTTGGGGGCCTTCAGCAGCCTGGGTCTTGGGGGCCCTCAGCAGGCTGGGTCTTGGGGGACCTTCAACAGGCTGGGTCTTGGGGGCCCTCAGCAGGCTGGGTCTTGGGGGTCTTCAGCAGGCTGGGTCTTGGGGACCTTCAACTGGCTGGGTCTTGGGGGCCTTCAGCAGGCTGGGTCTTGGGGGACCTTCAACAGGCTGGGTCTTGGGGGCCTTCAGCAGGCTGGGTCTTGGGGGCCTTCAACAGGCTGGGTCTTGGGGGCCCTCAGCAGGCTGGGTCTTGGGGGTCTTCAGCAGGCTGGGTCTTGGGGACCTTCAACAGGCTGGGTCTTGGGGGCCTTCAGCAGGCTGGGTCTTGGGGGACCTTCAACAGGCTGGGTCTTGGGGGCCTTCAGCAGGCTGGGTCTTGGGGGCCTTCAACAGGCTGGGTCTTGGGGGCCCTCAGCAGGCTGGGTCTTGGGGGCCTTCAGCAGGCTGGGTCTTGGGGGACCTTCAACAGGCTGGATCTTGGGGGACCTTCAGCAGGCTGGGTCTTGGGGGCCCTCAGCAGGCTGGGTCTTGGGGGACCTTCAGCAGGCTGGGTCTTGGGGTCTTCTGATATTGGAAGCGATCTCATCAAGACAAGCGGTGACCTCATACTAGTTGGAACGACTTCAGGTAGATACGAGGAAGACTCCCGACAACGATACCGACCACGACACCGAACGACTCAGCTCCTACGGCTCGGAAAACGACGCTGTTGATATCCCGACCAATCCGACACCCGTCTCGAAGCGACACCCCCCCCCCCCCCCCCGACACCTCCATCGGATCACCAAAACTCTCCATCCTTAAAAAATAACACGACCGACTAAACTACCCCAGAACAAGGCAATTAAACTACCTGGTGGGAAATAACCACGTCGTTGACAGCTTATCATAAAGACACAACCCGCCCCTTAGACCGGAACGACACAACTGCCCCAATACATGGAAGTGTCAGACGCACAAGCAGCCTTAAATCCACAAAGATTTATCCAAAATACGAAACACTTACATCATCAACACGGAACACAAGACCGTGTAATATGTACAGTAAGAGGGAACACCCAAGTCACATTAATAGACAACAGAAGAAGAAAATGGAAAACAGGATTATAAAACTCATGGAAAGAGATAAGAGAAAAAAAAAATGAAAAGAAGATGAGAAGAAAGGAAAAACTTTCTAAGAAAGTTTATGAGTAGGAAAACTTGAGTTGTTGGTCTGACTTTGACAGGTAAGACCGGATGGTGTTATGGAAGGGAAGGGGAAGATGGACGGGGAAATATATGGAATAGGCAGAGAAAGACAACAGAAGACAAAATAACAGAAGAGGAATTTGGGACAATGGAATAGAAAAAGAGGGAAAGATTGCGAGCTTGAAGTAAACAAGTTAAGAAAGGGGGGAAGCAGAGGAAAAGGTCATTAAAGATGAAGTAGAAATGGTAGAAGGAGGGGAAAAGGGATGGAGGGGGGAAGAGGAGGGGGAAATAGGAAGAGAAAGATGGACACAAGAAGAGGTGAAAAAACATTTAATTGGACGATGAACAACAATAATCCAGCTCTCACCATCTCAGTTAATTTATCAAAATGGAACACAGGTTTCCTCACACGTCTCCTCCTCCTTCCTCACACGCCTCCTCCTCCTTCCTCACATGCCTCCTCCTCGTCCTTACACGCCTCCTCCTCGTCCTCACACGCCTCCTCCTCGTCCTCACACGTCTCCTCCTTCCTCACACGCCTCCTCCTCGTCCTCACACGCCTCCTCCTCGTCCTCACACGTCTCCTCCTCCTTCCTCACACGCCTCCTCCTCGTCCTCACACGCCTCCTCCTCGTCCTTACACGCCTCCTCCTCGTCCTCACACGCCTCCTCCTCGTCCTCACACGTCTCCTCCTCCTTCCTCACACGCCTCCTCCTCGTCCTCACACGCCTCCTCCTCGTCCTCACACGCCTCCTCCTCGTCCTCACACGCCTCCTCCTCGTCCTCGCACGCCTCCTCCTCGTCCTCACACGCCTCCTCCTCGTCCTCACACGCCTCCTCCTCGTCCTCACACGCCTCCTCCTCGTCCTCACACGCCTCCTCCTCGTCCTCACACGCCTCCTCCTCGTCCTCACACGCCTCCTCCTGGTCCTCACACGCCTCCTCCTCGTCCTCACACGCCTCCTCCTCGTCCTCACACGCCTCCTCCTCGTCCTCACACGCCTCCTCCTCGTCCTCACACGCCTCCTCCTCGTCCTCACACGCCTCCTCCTCGTCCTCACACGCCTCCTCCTCGTCCTCACACGTCTCCGCATTCTTCCTTTTCTTTTCAATCCCCATTGTACTTTTCCCCCTGTTCGTCAATCTGGTGTTGGCTGCTGATGTGACTCATTTTCCCTCCTACCCGCGCCTTCTTTCCCATTATTCCCCTCCGTCTTACCCATTAATCTTCCTTCTTGCCCATTAATCACCTCTGTTACCCATTACCCTTCCTTCTTGTCCATTATTCCCCCTTCCCCATTATTCTTCTCTCTCTCTCTCTAGTCCAATACCCCTACCTTATGTCCCATTACCTCGTGTCCACTATCCCTCCCTCTTGCCCATTTCCCCTTCACTCTAGCCTAGTAAACCCTCCTTCTCATTACCCCTTGACTCCTAACCACTACCCGATCCCCAAGCTGCCAATATCGCCATCTCTTTTACCCCAGCACCACCACCACCTCCTTCCTCCTCCTGCGAGACCTCCAAGGCAAAATCTTAATTTTTTTCAGTCCATTATCCCAAAATTCGCCGCCGGGTCGTCCCCTGACTCAAGTTCACGAGGACTTTGATAACAATAAGTGCGGACCATAATTTGGCGCGGGTTAATTTGAGAGGTAAATGGTCTCGCGCGAATTTAGAATTGTTCAAGAAATTCGCAATTCAGAAATGCGCAAGAATTGCGGGTTCTAATAAAGCGATTGGGAGAGGGTGAAAATGGAAGGGGGAGGGAGAGAGAGACCCGGGCCCAGCCGAGTACCCGATCTAGTGTATATGTATAATATATACATGTGTGTGTTTAGTACATAAACTGGAGATCATAGGCACCAGTACGGAGATGAAAATGTCCACAGACTCGGACACGCAGCATTCCAACGAGGCGCGAGATATGGCGCCCCAGTGAGGCTCACAGGCTGGACGCTAACAGCTCTCAGGCCGGCTGGTAAGCATATCAAACTACCTGCTTCCTCCTCGTTGACCTCATTACGCTCGCTAATAGTGCCATCTTCCGCTCAAGCTCCATCACCGTCGATGCTGCTGCTACTGCTGCTGGGTCATCTTATACGGTGTCTTAATGTGACTTGTTTCATGGTGCACCAAGCCTCCTCCTGGTCCTCCTTACCAGTCTCCTCATTCTCCTCTTCCTCAAAACCTCCTTCTTGTCCTCACACACCTCCTCCTCCTCCTCCGCACAGTGGCACCACACATAGAACAAATCAGTGTATTCCTTACTATGGTTAGGTTGGCATGGGATAGAGGATAGGCTGGGACGGGTTAGCTTGGGTTGAGAAAGATTAGGTTAGGGTGAGCTAGGACGGGTTAATTTGGTGAGCAAGTTAGTCTCACGGCCCTTAATCCCCTTCAGAAGTTGATAACCTTTAAACCCAATACCAAACCAAACTACTTAAAACAAATGTTATAAACATGCCGATAGTTTTACTCAGGTTGTGTGTGTGAACACGGTACCTGGATTAAGGCTTGAACATTGGTACATTGAACACTTGGCACATTCACTGGTTGTTCAGTAAGCAATTATGGTGGCCCCGATAACCCTCCAGAGGTTGATATAGGCCTTAAGTCCAACACCTACTCAAACAAGGAGTTTGAAAATAATATCTAAATTTGCTTAGACACACCCCCTTACCCTTCCCCCTTATTAATCTGTAAAGTAAAGACGCAAATGAAAAATGCAGTGTGATTGAAAAAGAAATGGTTCAGAGGGGAAGGAGGGGACATTTCCTTTCACCTGATACACCTGTTTACCTAACACTCAGTACATACCTAGGAGTTTGCAAAACTGTTGTGGGTTGCATCCTGGAGGATGAGCAGCCGAAGGAGACCTGGCTAAATCCTAACTGGCTTCCTGTCTCCGTTAACAAAAGGAATAGTTCGCTCTCGATCCGGCTTAAGGAGAGCGAGTACGAGCCCCTCTCTACTGAAGCTGCAACTTTAACAGTCCGTGTGGCGCAGTGGTACGACCCTCGCCCGCAGCTTCGCGAGCGCTTTGGCCTGGGTTCGTATCCCGGCCCGGGGGAGGATTGACCGGGCGCCAATCCTGAATTGTACGCCTCTGTTCACCCCAGCAGTGAATGTTCAATATGTTGGCGTCTAATTTCAGAGACAGACAGACAGACAGACAGACAGACAGACAGACAGACAGACAGACAGACAGACAGACAGACAGACAGACAGACAGACAGACAGACAGACAGACAGACAGACCACGGTGGCACAAAGAACTCGGAATTCAATTCACTTTTTCGCCAGACATTCCTTGTTAAACAACGCGGAAATAGCGGGGATAATATTATGCAGAATTTCACATCTCTCCAATATCCTAAAGTATTTAACTGCAGGTAATTCCCCCCCCCCCCCCTCCCCTTATTACAATACCACACTTGCTTTGAGACGTGTGTAGGTTAAAGTTTATACAAAGATCAAATTTAAGTTAACAGGCCCTCTTGCATCTTTAATAACATTAACTTGATATAGAAAACGAGATCGATGCATCGTGTGAATACAGGAATTAAGTACGATTTACATACCAAAGATGGTTCGATACCCACGTTTTGACCGGTAGTTATTAGGATTTGGGTATTTGGGTATTTGCCAAGGGTATTTGTTAACTACACACTGTGCTACAGTGTGTAGTGGAAACATGCTCAGCTTTTATGGTCACTCTACTGTATTAACTTCCGTGATTAAATCGTTGAATGACGACAAGATGGCGTGTTTGGGGCCGCTGGCGGAGGGAAGGGTGATTTCTCGGTCACATCACCACCCTGACTGCTGAAGGAGACTGATGAAGAACTGTGAAGAACTGAAGAACTACACTCTTCCTCTGTAGTGGGGCGTTGCTGGCCGGCTTCCCACGGTGTTCAAGATGGAACTTTTTAAGCACTTGCAAAGTACAGTATACCAGTCAACTGGGCTTTGATTTGTAAAGCCCAGTTGACATCTAAAATATTTCATAAGACAAACGAGACAGGAATTCTTCCAGAATTCTGGAAAGATGCAAATGTGGAGATTGTGGAGAAGCAGGTTGGGATAACTGGCAAAACATTGAACATGGTAAAGGTAGGGGGCCCCGGGTGTCCGAAGGTCAGAAAGCAAAGAGAGGAGGACTTTGAGGTTTGAGCCAGAGATTTTTGAGACTTTGAGGACAGTCAGAGAGGAGGTTTCGAGCTGGAGGAACGAAACAATTGAGGTCTCACGAGTAGGTGGAAGGTCTCAAGGGTGTGGTGTAAGCCAAGGGTGTGGTGGAAGCCAAAGGGTGTGGTGTAAGCCAAAGGGTGTGGTGGAAGCCAAGGGTGTGGTGGAAGCCAAGGGTGTGGTGTAAGCCAAGGGTGTAGTGGAAGCCAAGGGTGTGATGGAAGCCAAG